GAGCCTGGTGAGATTTAAACTGCTAAATTTCAAGCAGCCAGCAGAAGTAGCCTGCAGTACTGCACTCTAACCACTGCGCCACCACAGCTCATAACTTAATTCTATTAACTTAAATCCATCACAAAATGCTTGCTGTTGCCTATATTGGCCCCTTTGCATTGGATGCACTTTGATTCTTTCAAGAGTTCCTATCAGTGCCGTCTTATTTTATAGTGTTCATTTTCCCTCCTGATCCTCCTGGAACTTACTGACTTAATGCTGGACGATGATAAAAATAAAATAAGAACGATGAGAACTTCGGCTTGGGAAAATAAGCTACATGAAAACCAGCCGAATCAGATAAACATAATAATGCCAGGATTCTAAAAGTAGCACATTCCAAAGTCTTACTTTGTTTGTGTTATGTAACTGGAATCAAATTGCAACAGATACAAAAGGCCTAACAGCTCAGTTTATGGGTCAGTTATAAATCCAACCTCGCACCCCAGGCTGGCAACCCCATCTTCCAGAAACTCTTGAGTACTTGGAAGCTGCTTTCAAATTTTAAAGATTTGGGAGTTGTCACATTCACTGTACAGTGTTCAGTTAATTAAAAGAGAGGCAGTTTGGTGTGGAGGTTAAGGAATCAGGCCAGAAACTAGGAGAATTTTGAGTTGTAGTCCCACTTTAGGCATGAAAAACCAGCTTGGGTGACTTTGGGCCAGTCTCTTTTTCTCAGCCCTAGGAAAGAGGCGCTGACAAACCATTTCTGAAAAGCCTTGCCAAGTGAATTGCAAGGGCCTAGTCCAGTCACTTTCCAAGAACAGAAGAAAAGAAAAAAAAAGGAATTAAAATCTAATTGAATTCAGACTATTTTTTCCCTTGCTCTTTTGTCGTGGCCCTGCTCCCCTTTCAAAGGACGGGTTCCTGTCGTGACACTGAAAGGCCAGTGGCCCACAACATATGGTGCAAGGCAGCTCACTAGCAGTCCATATAAGGATGTACCACACAGCTCCGCAGGAAGCACAATTCCTGTTGAGAAATCGTGTATTGTTAGGAAGGTTCTTGTTTATTCCATTTTATAACCTGCTGATTTTCCAAGAATCCGAGGGTGGATTTTCTTGTCCAGAATCTCACAAGTCTCCTTCAGCTGTTACATCATTGTGTGCTTCTTGCTCACAGCAATAAGCATATCCTTGGCCCTTTTTCCTATCCTTAGGAACATGTCAACGCTTTGGATTCTATAAAAACTTGGATGAAGGACGACCTTCCTTTCTATCCAAATCTGAATGTCTCAACCGATCATGGTCTATGGGGGAATTTCTCTCGGAGATCTATAAGGACCCCGAGATAAATTCTCCCATAGACGGTGGTTTAGGCAAGCCACCATAGTATCCGATCTCCAGGATTGCATTTTTGTTCCCCTTTTGTGCTGTCCTCTCCGAGTCAAACCTTTTCAATGGAAACTGCTCCAAAAGAGCTGTGGTTCTCCAGCCTTTATTTATTAATTGTATTTGGAAAGCTGCCCCTTAGAGGCTGAAAGAGCTAAATTAAATCCTCTTCTGTTTGTGCTGAATGGTTGCGTGAGTCAGATAACTGTCAGTGAAAAGGCATAGCGTGACTACTGGCTTCTGAGGGAGGACAGGGCCCTGTCCGGTGTTGAGCCTGCCAACTACTAGGATGTCCTGAGCACCAGCGACATCTCAACCCATTGGGCAGAGTCTTAACTCTCTCTGCAAAAATTCCCAAGATGGTTAGAGCTGGTCAGGGCTTGCGCTCCTGTTTCACCACGTTCCTTTCCAGCTTTTCTCTCTTCCCTCCTGCCCACTAGAGAAGAAATCTTGTCTCGGAAATCAGAACACCCAACCAGGAAGAGCCGTTGTCCAAACTGTCTTTCAGAATCCTGGTCTCAGAAACCACCTGCTGACGGTAGACTTTCTAGTTAGTTTTATAGCCATCAATGAGTAGAGACCTATAAATTGCAATCTGTGTGGTTGCGGATGATGACTACCAATTGATTTGGGGTAACTCTTGGGAAGCAAATTTCTCCTCACTCTACTCTGATCCCTGCCATGAAGTACCAACAATAGGTACCTGATGAAAATGTTTCTTTTTCTGATGCACTAGTAATGTACACAGCTCTCCCTCCCTCTCTGTCTCCCTGTCTCTCTCTGTGTGTGTCTCTCTCTTTATTATCTATCTATCTATCTATCTATCTATCTATCTATCTATCTATCTATCTATCTATCTATCCATCCATCCATCCATCCATCCACCCACCCACCCACCCATCTATCTATATATCATCTATCTATCATTATATGTCTTATCTTTTATCTATATATCTATGCATAGCTATCATCTATGTATCTGTCTATATCTCTCACTCTAACTCTACCCATCATCTCATTCATCTATCGTTCTATATTTGCCTTATCGATACATCTCTCTGTCATCTGTCTGTCTATCATTAAATGAACTACCGTTTATCTATATATGCATCTATATCGATGTATCTATGTATCTATCCATGTATGTATGTATGTATGTATGTACGTACCTACCTACCTACCTACCAACCAACATCTCATTCATCTATCTTTCTATATCTGCCTTATCTATATCTATTATCTATACCCCCCTCATCTACACACGCACGCACACACACACGCACACACACACACTGGTGGCTGCCCATTTCCCCAAAGACGAGTCTGGGTAGAGAACACGAGTTGCAGATGTAATTTTCTGCCTGAAAAAGTCTTGGGGAGGCCTTTTACTCTGCAGATGGATCCTGCCCCTTTTTTGGGGGTGGGGGGGAAGGGTGTCCATCTTTCACAGGTGAAACTTGCTAGGTCCTCAGTCCCTGATGCTTAGGAGCGAGTTCTCTGGACGAGGGTTTTAATCAAATGCAGATTTTTTTTTCTGGCAAGGAGGGGAAGGGAAAGCAGAGTCTGGTTGTCTCCTCTTCTCACCCCCCTCCCCCATTGCTCATGGGACCAGAAAGTGGCAATTAAAAATGTGTAAAGGGGCAGTTTTTTTTGAAAGGAGCCAGAGTTTTGAATGCTTGAAGGATCTTAGATCTTGTAATGCAATGCACTCTGCTGGCATCAGCCTGAAAGTGCAGGATTGTGCGGTAAGACGTATGTTTGATTTATTTAATGGATTAAAAAGTCACAGCCAGTAGATCCCAATCACACCTGAAAGGCAGCAGTGGGACAATTAAAAGTCAAATCAAAACTCCATGTTAAACACCACCTGAGATTTGGGGAAATGTTTTCAGCTCAGAAGAAATCCTGCAGGAAGAGAACTTCCAGAGTTACCGGCTCCTTAAGAGAGATAAATATTTGGAGGGAACCAAAGCCTGAATGTTTTGGTTTAACAAACCTGTATTTAGAACTAGGGACTCTAGAGCAGGGGTCGCCAACCTTTTGGATCTCAGGGACCACCAAACTCATAATTTTAGATCCCAGGGACCACTAACCGGTTCTGTGGGCGTGGCCTAATTTGTGGGTGTGGCTTGGTGGTCATATGACTGGCTGGGCCTGGCTTGTGTGTAAATATTATAAATATTTATATAAATATTGAATTTTTTATTAAAAAAAGAGCAACTTTTACCCAAAATCAGGCAAAGCGGGCAGATTGAGTTGCTCACAGAATCACAGATTCATTCAGAGATCTACCTATCTGCCATTGGCTAGCTCAGTCTGTCACATAAAATTTGCTTGCAAGCAAACACATACAATTTGCTAGCAAGCAAACTCACAAAATTAACTCACAACACACCATGCATGTAAAATTCACATGCATGTGAATTTTTTATTTAAAAAAAGAGCAACTTTTACCCAAAATCAGACAAAGCAGGCAGGTTGAGTTGCTCACAGAATCATTCAGTGATCTATCTATCTGCCATCGGCTAGCTCAGTCTCTCAAATTTGCTTGCTGTGAGTCTGCACTGAATTTGCTTGCAAGCAAACCTTCAGTCCTAAGGGAGGTTTGGCTGTGCTGAGCTGAAGATCTAAAGACTAGCTAGAAAGCAAGAAATCCAACCATTTCCTGCTTCCTAGCTAATCTAAATCTCCCAGCACAGCAGAACAGATGATGGTCGGAAAAAGGAAAAATAGCAATTTAGCAGGCAAGTTTGCCCGGTAAGGAGCGAGTGGGCAGGGAGGGTTCCCGCGGGCCATGTGGGCTGAGCAGCCTTCTGTTTCTGCTCAGCCTAGATTAATTGCTTTGTGGGGGTCCTCGGGGGGTGAGATTTCTCTGTAGCCCACCAAAATTTTCTCACAGCCCACCAGTTGGCAACCGCTACACTAGAGTACATTTAGTCCAGCCCAATGATTCAAAGACACAAATTAGACTGGGTAAAGAAAGAGAAAAGTTAAATCCGTACCATATCCTCAACTAGGATAAATGGAGAGAATTGATAGGTGGTGGTTCCAAAATGTTGTGGACAACCAGAACAGCTGTGTTCTGTAAATCACGCTGGTGCATAGTAACTAGAAAACTTGGCATCTAATTGGGGATTCCCAGCCCCTCCCAATCAGGGGTGGGGCTGCTGGGGGTTTGCAGGGGTCTGGGGGAGCCCCTAGCTAAGATTCTGCAAAGTTCAAAAAAAAACACCAAATCCCACTCCTGGCTGGCCTCGCCCACCCCTCCCCTCCCCGGAGTCCCCACACGGCCTGTTTTGGATGCAGGCAAGTGCAGGGCACGTGGGGAGGCTCAGGGAGGGGGAAAAATGGGCCTCCCGGAAGTTCGGGAAGGCGCCATGGTGCAGGAGACCGACTAGGCCACGCCCACCATGGCCACACCCACCCAGCAACCAGGTAGAGAACCCCTTGCTAAAATTTTTGAAGCCCACCCCTGCTCCCAATCCCCGTATTGCTCCTGTTTGATGTCTTTTAATTTTAATATCTGTGTAGCATCTCTGTCTCTGGCTACAGATAATCCTCGACTTACAACAGCTCGTTTAGCAACCGTTCAAAGTTACAACGGCGCTGAAAAAAAG